ACAGAAACATGAGCTGATCGATGGAAAATATATTTGACAGAAAAGGAGTCTTGCAACCACTGTTATTCTAAACTTTTGGTTTTCTAATGTTTCTGCTAGTTATGACCATTGCCTGTGTCCCTTGTATACTGAATTAATATTCTTCATTGCAAATTGCACCATCTTTTCTGTGAGAAAATTATTTATGAAATTCACAGATTTTCAAATTAGTTGACTGGATGATCTTAACCTTGAGTTGCAGTTATTACCGAGTAGGATTTTCTGGCTTCTGCAGGTAGGATTTACTTGCAATGTGGGGAATCTGCAATGGAAAGAGCTGGAGAATGTTTTTTTCTTGCTAAAAATTATTGTTCTGCAGCTGAAGTATATGCAAAAGGCTGCAATTTCTCCAAGTGCTTGTCTGCATGTACCAAAGGAAAACTCTTCGACACGGGCTTGCATTATATACAGTACTGGAAACAACAGGGGACTGCAGATCAAAGAAGCAGAGAAATGGATACAATTGAACAGGAGTTTCTGGAGAGCTGTGCTCGTCATTATTACGAGCTCAATGACAACGGAGCCATGATGAAATATGTTAGAGCTTTTGATTCCATGTCTTCAGCTCGTACTTTCTTGACTAATTTAGGTTGCCTTGATGAGCTTTTGTCATTGGAAGTGGAATCAGGCAACTTCCTGGAGGCAGCGGACATTGCAAAGCTGAAAGGTGAGCTTGTCCTTGAGGCAGAACTACTGGGCAGGGGTGGACATTTTAAGGAGGCATCTTTGCTTATTCTGTGGTTTGTGTTTGCAAACTCTCTGTGGTCAACTGGAAGCAAAGGCTGGCCTTTAAAGCAGTTTCTTCAGAAAGAGGAACTTTTGACAAAAGCTAAGTTACTTGCGAAGGATGTGTCAGATCAGTTTTATGAGTTTGTTCACACAGAAGCTGAAATTTTATTGAATAGCCAGCACAACTTATTCAAGATTCATCAAAGTCTAGATTCTTCTCGAAGACATAGTAGTATCAGAGGTGAAATAGTATCAGCTCGAAAGATTCTGGACGTGCATCTTCATTTAAACACCTCAAAGTATTTGTGGGAAAATGACTTAGCGTCTGATTTAGCAAGGTTGTCCGAAAGAAACTTTTTGAAAAACCAGGTCTCTGCTGAGACACTTGTTTACTTTTGGAATTTTTGGAAGGATAAGATTGTGAACATATTCAAGTTTCTTGGACGTCTTGAAATGCAAGATGTAAGTGAATATGGAGATTTTGGTGAATTCTGCTTGAATTACTTGGGCGTGAAGAGACAGTTTAATAATCTGAACGCTATCTATTTTCTGATGATCTCGGATGCTCAGTGGGTGAGGGAAATACCCAGAAAATTTATTCAAAGGAAGGGGAACTTGGTTTCTGTAGATGTTCATCAGTTTGTCATTGCTGCTCAGGGTTATTGGTGTTCGGAATTACTTTCTGTCGGCATGAATGTATTAACCAATCTTGAAGCCCTTTACAATTTCTCAGTTAGGAATTCCTTGTCCCTGTTTTGCCAAAGCAGGTCTCTTACTCATATATATGAGGTGGCAAATTTTCTTTTGAATTGCCAGTTTCTAAGTAGTCAACACGGTGATATCAAGGCACTGCAGAAATTCACTCGACTGGCAACTGGATGCTTCTATGATTGCATCTATCCTAGGGACTGGAGAGAATCACTGGAAGAGAATATGATTTCGTTGAGGAGAACTGCCATTTGTAGGAATTTACTCAAGGAAGTTATCTTTGAAGACGTGAGCTCAAAGAACAAGCTGTCTTATGCGCAACTTGGAAGGATCACATCGATGATTCTTGGTTCTGGTGAGATGGTATGTGAACTGTATGAGAAGATGGCAGATGGTCTACAATGGAATTCTTCATGGAAGGCATTCATTGAGGATCTCTGTAGGAATGCGAGCGAGGTGTCCTATATGCTGAAGTTGCATGAAGCTCTAGTAGATACTTATAATGCCAACTGGAGGAAAGGAGATTATATCTCGCCTGGTTGTTTCTTATACATGCTTGAACGCCAACTAATTTTGTTATCCTACCACCAAGGCTATTGTTTCACAACAAAGTCTTCTTTTGTGGAATGGCTTATCTACCAAGAAGGCCATGGGAGTCCAACTTTTGAAAGTTTGATGGGACCTGCACCCCAATCTACAGAAAGCATCCTGAAGTTTATTGTTGACACTGTTCAGCTGTTTCTTTATAATGAGAAGGATATGATGGAGTGGATAAGAGTATCAGAGAAGAACGTGAAGGTCCTGAATGACTACCATGCTGTAGTAGTGTTGAGATTGGTTGTCATAATATGTTTAATTTATGTGAACTTTGGATGTTGTAAAGGCTTGCTTTCTGACTTGCTGGGTAGGAAGTATATCACCAAAAAACTGCCAAGTCATTTTTATGATGCCATCCGGAAGAGGCAGAAGCATAATTCTCTGAATGTAAATCCAAATTTGGTAGCTGAAGCATTTAGCAAGATTGGCAATCCTCTGGTAGTTGTGAGTTTTGGTAAAAATTGCTCAAGATTTTTATGTCCAGATGCTATTTTTGTGGACATGAAGGTCAGTGAAAGCAAAGACAATGTATTAAGAGTCTTGTTTGCAAAGACTGATGCTACAGCTCAGGATCACACGGGAGCTGTTGAAGCAAACACCAGGAGCTCATTCAAAGGAATAGTGTCCCGGGGCATTGAATATCCAGGGAAGATACCTGAGCTTCCATCTAATGATGGAGATACAGCTAACTGGAACTTAAGGTGTGGGAAGAAGGATGAGAGTAACCCTCCATTGCGCCATGAACGGCTTTGGGAAATATTTGAAGCACTAAAATTTTCAAACCATGGAGTAGATCGAAGAAGCAATATTGCATGTGATCCAACATTTAAGGTAATGCTGCTTTTCGAATTATTTTTTATTATTTTAGCATGCTCAGAGACATGGTTATCTGTTTCTGCTAATCATTTTATCATTTATTTTCCAGGTGGATATAGACAGAGTTACTTGCCTTTTAAAAGCAGCAATCGATGGAAATTTTCAGAACCCTCCCGGTGTGGATAATAAAAACCTGCTTGAGGAAGCTTCCACCATGCTTCACGAAATGGGGCAACTTAATGCTGCATTAGAAATGAGGTCAGTGTAAACATGATGCCTAGATCCATGGTATTTAATGAAGTATTTCATTCTACTTGCAATGATAATATTTCAAGTATATTTTATTTTCAGGGAACCAGAACAGGAGAGCGACATTTCTACAATTGGAGAACTTCTCGAGAAGCTGCAGTCAAGAAGGCCAAAAATGGAATTTTTCCTACGCCAGATATTCTTGCAACACGATGAAAATCTTAAAAGAGAGATGTCAGAGACAAACAGTGCATCAGATGGCCAACGTGATGAGGAATATAGTAAGAGCAAGGCTGAGGGGAGTTGCGTTTCTGCTAAAGGTGGGATAAACATTTCACGTAGTAATGTTGAGACCGGTGGCAGCAATCCTGATATGGAGAACAAGGGGAAGGGAAACAGCAAGTCTAAGAAAAACAAGAAGGGAAAAGGAGGGCGGAAACGCAAGTAGCCTTAAACCTTTAACGAATTAAGGAAATAGTATTTCTCAAAAAAATAACCTTTTCTTCTGCATTTGTTTATAGCAGTGTGATTTTTCCTTTCCTTTCTTTTCCTTTTTTTTCTTCCCTGCATGGAGAAAGAAAAAAAGAAATATTATGAGGTCATAACACCTACAAAAAACTTGCAATATACTGTAAATATTTCAATTATTTATGTTGACTTGTGTTCATTTCTCCAGTGGCAGGATCGAACTCAGAACATAGTTTTCTGAGTCTGGGATTCACTTCATTTTTAATTTTTCAGATTTATGTTCATTTTATGCACATAGCAATTGTGCATGTAACCGGAAATCATCTCCATGTTTATTTCGAGAACTCTCTGATATCTTGAGCCGCACAAGTTTGGACCCTGGTTGAATGAATTCTATTTACGATTCATTATTTCTATCCCATAGGCTTTTAATTTTTTATTTTAGCATATTAGCATATCAGTTTACACTTAGCTATTCTTATTATTTTTTTATTTTTTTATTCATAGACGAGTTCCGCATGTTTTCACATCTAGGATTTACATGAGTTGTAGCTGAAGAGTAGAGAGGCTTTGGCAAGAGCTAAGCCATAAGCCAGCCTCCATTTTATTTCCTAAATCGTTAATTGGTTTTCCTAGTAAACAAAATTCTATAGTAAAAGAGAGAGCAAGTAATAAGAATCCACAATTCAGGCCAAACTTAGAAACTCTTCAAATCAAAGTGAAGTAATCCAGGAAGAAGCAGAACAAAATAACAAAATCTTCCTAGAAGAAGAAAATTGGATTGACAGACTGAAAAGAATTCCAAAAGCATGATGGAGAATACAAGCCATTCTCAAAAACGTGAAAGCAATATCATGAAAGAGCAGCCCAATCCTGCCGAAATGGGCAAGGAAATTCCCCTAAAAGCATAAAAACCATGACGCAACAAAGAAGAAATGAAAACTATCCTATCCAAAACAATTGTCTTGAAGTGCACCGGTTTATTAAAATTCAATCATTTCTCTCCAACCAGGAACACCATTTAGACATCACAGACTGTACAATACTGCAAAGAGGAATAACAATCAATATGCAAACATAGTAAACTGTGGAGAAACTTCATTCCTAGGGTCCCCTCTCTATTGCTAAAATGGTATTTGCTCTGAATTAGAACTTTAAGTACCACTCACAGAGCTTCAGAAAGTGTTCCTTCAAAATAAAAATAAAAAAATGAACTCTGGAGAGACAAATCTCTTCCTTAAATGCACATCATGGAGGTTGGATTATATCAAATACTACAAGAATGCATTAACTTCCAAGTCATGGGAGATTGATAATTCATTAAGGAAATCAGGAAAATCTGTGCAGCAAGTATATTATCTAACTTATTCCTAAAAAATTTCCACATTTCAAGATTGATTTGAAGAAAATTTTAAAACCACAATATTCCAAACACAAGAAATGCAGGCCAACAAGATATCATGTTTTGCAAGTGAAGCCAATAGTTTTAGCATTAACATGGAGACAATCCTCAAAAGGAATGATCAAAACCATTGCTGTGGTAACAATGCAAGTGTTACAGCTCTATAAAACTCAGTTCTTTTTTCTTTGTTCTTTTTAATTATCCTTGGTGAAACTTCAGCCACGTTTCCAGATCAATCCTAAACAAAATGAGATGGAGGATTATTACCCAAAAATCCAATGTCTTCCTTCTCTATCTGGAGAGTAGTTGAATTCTCCAAATCATTATTACCTCAAAACTTCAAAAACCAAAACTCAGTTCTTCTCATTTGACCCAAAAAGCTTCATCCTTGATAATGAGGTCCTCAAATACCCCTCCACCTCAAACTTCTTTGGCGAAAGCTCACGATACTTGGCAAACTGCTCTTTTGCCTCCTCATTTCTATCAAGTAAACTATATATCATCCCTCTACAAAAATAAGGCCTGAAATCTTTAGGATCCTCTTTTGACAACTCTTGATAACTCTTCAACGCCTCCTCCACATTCTTTTGCCGGAACTGTATCTGTGCCACAATCAGCCTCACGTCCCTCGCTTCTTTCACTTTATTCTCCTCTTCTGCAATATCTAAAGCCTCTTGTAACCTTCTAATAACCGCCTCTCCTTCTCCACAGCGGTCCATTAGTAGTGCATTCTCGAACAAGGCCTCAAAAGACAAAGGATTTGCGACAAGAATTTCTTCAAAAACATTGCGAGCATCTTGTGCTCGACCCATTTCGTTCAGCAATCTCGCCATTAAAAACTTCCATTCAGTTACCTCCGGTTGCGCAGATACTAAAAGCTTTATAATCTTTAAAGCCTCTTCGTCTTGGCCATTTTCAAGTTTTTGTTGTAAAAGTGATTTCAGAGACTCTATCGCTTCAGCATTAGATTCAAGGAATGCTTGTAATGGCGTTGATGGGTCACTTTGCTTCTGGTTTTTATGTTTCTCTGTATCTACCTCTTCTTCTCCTTCAAGAGCCGGGTTTTCTTCGGTGAGAGCTGCGGGGGTTTCGGCTTTTGCAGGCAATACAGGGAATTTGCCAGCAATGGAAGCTGCGACGCCAATCAAAATTACTGTTTTGGTGAGGGTTTTCAGCTTTTGGGTTAACGGGCTTTTGGAGGTGTGATTTGAGGAGGAGGCGGCTGGTTTTGGTATTTTGAGAGAAGGGGTAGAGGTAGAATTGTGGAATTTGAGAGTGGTGGAATGGAGAAGTGAAGGTGAGCTGAAGGAAGGAGGAGTTTTGAGGTGGATAACAGAAGTCGCTAGAGTAGAGTCCATGGTTGGTTTGGAGAGACGATGGTGGTTTTTTATTTTGTTGGTTTTGAAGGTTCAAGGCTTGAGTCGCGGAGGAGAGGAGAGGGTTTTCTTAGCCTTTTAGTTAGGTGGTGAGCGGTGGTAGGTGAGAGAGCGGGAAGGTGCTTGATAGTTGAGAGGAGACAGGAGGAAGAAAGTTCTATTCCGCCAATCACCGCATCAATTATGTTTTAACAAAATTAAAAACCTTCAGCCTCGTCACCTAGAACAAAATTAATACCTTGGATCTGGTCTCGGCTGGAACTCCCAGCCATATACATCTGCCGCAGCAGGAATCTCCCTATTTGTTTCCTGTTATAATCTGTTTTTTTTTAATTATTTTTTTATCTGAAAAATATAATATTAAAATAAAAGTATTTTAATTCTTTATCAAATAAAAAACACTTTAAACCACCACTGTAACAAACATTTTCAAAATATTTTTTATTTAAAAAAATATTAAAATAATATTTTTTATTTTTAAAAAATTATTTTTATTTTCAGCATATAAAAAGATTTTCAAATATTAATTTAAAAAAAATTCTATTTACAAAATATTTTTAAAATACAAAAACAAACTAAAATCTATACTTAAAAAAAATTAAATCTAGCGTTGTTTCACGCATTATCTTCATAATAATATATACAACTCGGGAGTTGTAAAAAGAACTGTAAAGTTAATTTTCAGTCATTTTGCAGCAATAACTTCACAAGCAATGAATCCTGAAGCATAAATTTGCAAAAACAAAAGGATGGCATGGTTTCACTGGCGCCACCTTGTCGAGTCATTTCACTAGCACAACCTCACCAAAAAAATAAAAAATAAAATAGCTGCGCCATTCTTGGTGGCACTTTCTAAGCTATTTTTCTCAATTTTTTGTTCAACTTTGCTGGCTCTCAAAATATTTTTTCTCACTGTTCAATTTTTTTTAAAAAAAAACTCATCTTTTGACCCTTTAAGCTTGATCCGATTCTTCAATAAAGAACTTGGAAATTGTGTTACGAGTTTTTATTTATTTATATTGTGAAAACTTGTTACGAGTTTTCACCTTTCGTTTTTAATATTTAAAAATAATAATTAAAAAAAAAACAATAAAGAGATATTTTATTATTTTAAATTTTTTGCAAGTACGTCTAGAAAAAGGCTGCAATTATATGCAAGATATTGCAATTTTTTGGAAAAGAAAAGAAAAATCTGAATAACGGTTTAACCAACATCTAGACGGCACAGTACATTGTGATTAATCTGAATTTTAGGCTTATAACTAATGTTTCAGTTTTGAACATTCAACAAATGAACGTATTATTGATGAGAAAGTGACATATACGAAAACAACGATGAACCCAAAATCAAATGGAGAATATAAATAGAAATCAGTAAATCTTCTATTATTTGCGTGTTAGTTTTTTGTTGGAGATTATCTCTTAAGCAGCATTACAACTGAATGATGAATTCAGAAAAAAATCATTTTCCTATCTTATCTCTGTGCTTTTTATGAAATAATCAGTTTATTTTATTTTAATTTTTTAGAAGATCCCAGCACCGAATCCTTGTGCTTTTCATAGGTGGTTGTACTTAATCTAACTCTTAATTTTCCTAGATAATTTAATTGTTTTTTTTTATTTCTTCTAAAATGCCCTTCATTTCTAGTCAATTTTTCAATCTCAACTCCTAAAAAAACAAAAATACTTGAAAAGGGAAGTTTAGATATTTTAAAAAAAGTTAACAGTCAACTCGTATCAAGCACCAACAATTTTACAATGGCGGAGATGAGTATATCATAGGATCAGAAAAGGATGTTTTTTACCATAGTTTCATGTTCCTAGCCTCTTCGTACCACATTCGGAACAGAACTTGGAGGTTTCTCTTAGATATGGAGCTCCACATTCATCACAATACTTCGGTGGACTCGTAGGCTGCAGTTTGGAAAAGGTTAATAAACACACTACTGTCATGTTCTAACTTCTACGTAAAACTTAAACGCACTTTTCAACTATTTATATGGCATAATGCACAAAGAAAAAGAGATGGAAATATTAAAAAGAAAAGAAAAGAATAACATCTTATCCCCACTAAATAATAACAGTTAATGCCTCAGGAACAATTTCCATCAGAGGTACCAGTTAGCTTTGTCTGGGTTTTTCCAGAAGAATTTGGATCATCAGATCTTGCCTTTGCATGGATTCATTCCACGGGAACGAGGGGTTCCAACTTCCAAGCGAGGAAGAGATTGACAAGCAAATGAAAAGGGAAAAGATATACAGAATGACTAAACGGATTATGCTCATAAAGATGAAGCACCAATCTTATTTACTATAAATTGTGGCAGGTTGCAATTCCTACAACATGCGTTCACGAGAGAATATGTACATTTCAGGATGCTGACTACGCTGTACATGCTATAACCACCAAGGAATAAGATTAGGAAGGAGAAGAAGAAAAGACCGAAGCTATGATTGCTTGGTGCAATACCCTATTCTTACCCAATTATAAACGGATTTATGTGTAAAAAAAAAAAAAAAACCAATCATATAACTAGATATTTGACCGACAAAAAAATAAATTGAATTTGTCAGCATTGAGAACCAGAATCTAAAAACGCATCTCATTATGCAAAAAATTTTCGTTATAAATTTATATGGTGACAAAATGGTTGACGCTTTGTTAAGGGTGTCCCTTTTAGTCCTAAATTTTGTGACGGAACCGTTATTTTCTTCCTAGAAAATCATCCAGCATGCATTTATAAACCCAAGCTACACCAATGATACCAGGAAATCACATCGTCATAAAGAAATCTTGCACTGGTTTTAGGACTGATGTACAAGTGAAATCTTCAACATTATCAAGCAAAATGCAGAAATAGAATTTCACCTTTCCCGGTGGCATTCCATGCTTGAGAATGCATACTCATAGACATGATTAAATTAGACTGTTAGCGATATTTAATTCATCAGGAGAAGAATAGTCAGCAAACCGGAGAGCTGAGATTATTTTATTTAGGTTATGAAGTAGGAGCATTGTATAGTGCAACAGAAAAACTAGTTGTACTTGCTAACAGGAGTGTTATAGATTGACGGCATCAAGAGCCACTTCATGCAAAACTAATGAAGGATACAACTATTCCAGAGTGTTAGGAACCCTACCTGTACGACTACAATTAAAAAAAGGACTGTCAATAACGTAGGAACACATGTCAGCAATAATAGGCTATTTTTAATTAAAATAAGGACTTGGCATGGCATTTTCTCAAACTTGTATTTACTATATCATTAATTGAAATAGAAGAGGAAGTCCTAGCAAAGAAACCTCACCATTGAATGCAAGCGCCCTCCAACATGGCCTCCTGCGAGGGGCTGCAAGTAGACCATGTGCTGAGGAATGGTTGGAGACTGGGTAGCATGAGCAATTTCAGGCATGTGTGAAGGTGGCCCACATTGATGATTTTGAGAAAATTGGGTTGCATGTTGACTTTGATGAACTTCTTGATGATGGTTCTGGTTTATTGGGTGAAACTGAGGTTGATGTGACAACAGTTGCACATGATGCTTCGAAGGAGTCTGCTGCTCGTTTTGTGGCTGCAAAAATTGAAAGGCGAGAAAATATGTGCACAAAAATTCCCACAATATAGTTTATTTACAAGTGCAGTTCATATGAGGAATCTTATATGTTAGCAGAATGGCAAACAAAGAATGTGAAAGTGAGACGTGTCAGATAAGGGGGTGACATTTTTTATTGCATTTTCCCTCCTTGTGAATGTTAGAGAAACTAAAACTGAAAGAAAGAAGTCTTCCATGTCTGTAACAGCCTTGTTGCTGGCCCGCCATAAAACTCTTGTAACAAAGCATTAAATGCATTAAGAAGTCAAAAGTTAATTCTGGCAAACAATACCATCAGCATAATGATTCTGGCAATAGATTGTGATGCAAAAATGTAACGTTGCCAGGTACCATGCTCAACACAGAGAATCAAAGGAAGCTTCAAGCATGTGGTTCAGTTGTAAATTAAGACAGCACAATGAGATTCAAAGTAGAATTTGGGAGATAGCAATAACCTACTATCAAAAAAATCTCTGGCTAGTTAGCAGCTTTAAGTAACCATCACAAGTATCCCTCTTGGTTAGCACATGTAAGCAACCTCCTTGTAAACTCCTATCTAAGCAGAGCTTTAACTAACCATCACAAGTATCCTCTTGGTTAGCACATGTAAGGAACCTGCTTGGTACCTCCTATCTAAGCTTTAACGGACTTAATGTATTTAATGGATAGGTAGAGAAGACATGCATCTTTTTTTTTTTTCCTTTCATACTTTGTGACAAAAATCTGTCATGGGTTAGTTATTTATACCTGCACAGAGAAGTTATTCTACATTAACTACAGAATGCTATTACTAGGATTTTGAAGACCTCCTACCAATCCTAGATAGTAGAGAGTATCCTGATTTTGACTTCTTCATGGTAGTAATTTCCAAGAGCGGTTAAAAAAGAAAAGGAAAACAATAAAAGGTTTTTGAAATGTGATATGTCATAGCTGAGTACTTTCGGACTCCTGATTAAGGCCTGTGTACATATACATTTACCTGATAGACAACCAAAACAATTACAACCCTGCATAGAAGACAACTCACAGTAATTGCAAAAAAGGAGCTGACTCATACTTCACTTACAGATCGGAATCCTTGTGCAGTAGTCATTGTTGAAGAATTATCTTCTGTAGGAAGTGTCTGAAAATATAAATATACGATTGTGACATTCACCTTCAAATATAGGATCAAGGAAGTGATTATGCATACAGTTAAATAAATCTGCCATTATGTGCTCACACAATCCAGTGAATAAATTTTTCATATGTAATGCGGCAAACCAAATTATGTCAACCATCATAATAGGAAGATGATGGACCTAATTGACATCGTTTAAGTAATGCCTTTTTTTAAAAAAAGAAAAAAGAACAAAAAAAAGGTTCCTTATTCCTTTATCAAATTATTATGCCATCAAAAGTGCTCCAAGCTAGATCCACATCTGAAAATAGGGTAGATCAAATCTTGCTAGCATAGCAGGGACTCAAACTTACAGCCAAACCAGGAATATTAGACAAAACACGCCTAAACTTGTGCCTTGGGGAGTAGAATTTATAATCTTGAGCAGAGACAGCAACTTCAATCCGACCTGTCAATCGTCTAAACCTGTCATATGAGCATCATAGTCAGAGAGCCAAAAATGCTGCAAACTTCATCGCCATCCTAAATTTTTCATTCATTTTTCAAAAAAAAAAAAAAAAACTGTTCAAGGAATTTCATTTACCCCTTGAACTTTTAATACTGAATACAGCAACCTATATAGTCTCCTGGTGAACTTCACTCAGTTTAACAGGTTCCTTGATCCTAAATGGAACCGTTTGTAAGATGGATAATTGACGATCCATATATTCCGGTAAGCAGTTAAAATCAAAAGACACATGATAATTTAATCTGTTCTTGCATTATGGATCTGTTCTTCAATCTGGATCATATCAATCATGCAACAAAAAATGTTCTCTCAAGAAGGCCTCAGAGAAATTGGGGGATTACATAGAATTGGTTTCTGACCTGGCAGCAAATTTCTTTATTTGAGTTTCCCATTAAAGGTTCCTGTCAGTGGTTTCTGCGTGATGATAGCTAAACCCCCTATAATTCCAACTTGGTAATTCTGCCAGTTTTAGACAGATAATTTCAACATTCAATTCTATATAAGACAGCTCGTACATTAAGTATGAAATTATACTTGATGGTTCCACAACACTAGAAGATAAATAATCACTTTCATTTCTTTCTCCAAATAAGTAAAAGTATGATCTTTTCATAGAATCTCCTTTTATTTCAGGACATAAATATCAAGCTAATAATTGTATCTTAAAAATGAAGCTCTTTGCTTAGTGGAAGCAATGTCTGTGTAACGAAGCTGTGGGAACCATTTTTAGCTTCTCTATCAAAGTGTTATCTTTCCAATACATTCAGGCTTTTTCAGAGCACACTTTGAATAAAAATTCCGATATAGCCTCTCCTTGTGGCCCTAAATCCTTGCATTCCCCAAGATACAAACGTTGATTTGTTTGGAGATACAATAATTGGCCTTTCATTGTGCATCTAAATCAATGTCCATTTGGCTTGAACTCAACTCTTGATCCACATAACAAGGATATGCAAGAGTGATTCAGAATTACAGCAAATGAAGAAAATCAACAAAACACGAGAATTGATGTGGGAATCAAAACCAAAATCACCGAAAAGAGAGAGACACTCAATCTTGAGGGGACCAAACCAAAAGAGACACCCTCGATCTTGGAGAAGAAATACAAGAGAGAGAGACATGATCTTGAAAGAAAAAGCTCCATTTATTTTATATTATTCAACAATTTCAGGTGCTTCATTATATGCACCAACCATATAAAATAGAAAAACCTAACAAGTCTTAATTGAATAAAAAAAACTAAAATTCTAATTTAACCACTACACAATAAAAACTAATATTCCTAAATAATAATAATCTAGAACAGTCATACACTATTATAATTTCTAAATAAATAAATATTAATTCCCATTGTTGCGCTTCATTCTCTATCAAATTCAGATATCATGCAATAACTATGGAAAATCACTTCATAGTACTGGCAAAGAATAGGAATCAAAGAATGAAAATAGTGCAGCAAAGTAGCCATGAGATTGAATTCTATGAGCAGTTAAATAGCCCAACTTACCACTCAGCATCTACAATAGGCATACTACTTGGTTTCTCGACTATATCTAAACCATTGACCACCACGAAGCGAACTCTCTTCTCTTCTTGTATTACTAATTCTGGAAATCTGGTCCTTGTTTCAAGAGAAGTTGCCAATTCTCTTCTTTTAAATATACAAGAACCTTCAGCAAATAGAATAATCAGAAACCATTAACTTCTACATCTTGGAATCTCCTTATCCCTAAACATTCCATATACTTTGAAAAAGAATCAGATCAATTCGTTTTATGGTAATTCACAGATAAAACAGTTAAGTTGGTCAACTAAAAAGGCTCGTGAAGAAGAAGAACGTTTTAATACCTTTTTTGGGAAATTTCTTGGCCATTCTTCTATACAAACCACCAGCTGCTTCAAGGGCTACTCCAATGGTCTTATCACGAACACCATTCAAAGAAGCCAATCTCATATTCACATCATTCACTAGAGTTTCATACAAATTAGCAACATACATCAACGGCAAAGCGAACCTCGGATCACCTTCATATTGCATATCTCCAGATTTCCTCTTAGTTAGTTTATCCTGTCCCGGTTGAGCAGCATACTCTGACTCATTATCAGCCACTTCAATCACATGGTCACTAATAAAGTGATCCACAATTATTTGCAAAAATCTTGCTCTTGCAGATTCGATAGGTGAAACATCTGCTTGGAAATGAAATCAAATTGTAAACAAGAATACTTGAAAATGAAGTGTGAAACCCAATTGTAAACAAGAATACTTGAAAATGAAGTGTGAATGGTTTAATTCAGAAATGCACTTACCATCAAATGTCAATATATCGTATGCACCTCCAGAAGACCCAGTGTTCTCAAGGCTAGTGTGATCTTCTTCGACCCCTACACTGTGAAGTGGTAAGGAATTGCTATAGGAATCATGAATGCAGTCCTGGAAAGACCAAAATTACGTGGAATTCATTATTCACCACATAAGTTTAGCTTCTCAAACAAAGAAAAAATGACTCTCTATTTAGAAATAATAATAAGAGTATGGATCGATGAGAAGAGATAAAACAGAAAGAGAGTGAGAGCGGTGTTGACTTACAACAGCATCGGAATCATCGTCTGCGTTCAAGGTATGATCGGCGTCTGCGGACATGGAATCGAGGTTAGAGGGACGAGAATCGACGGTGTTGAGATCATGGAGAGAGTTGGTGGCAATGAAGGATCCAGCTGATCTCAGGTTGCAGTGCTGCACTGGAACCCTACTCCCCATTAATTTTACCACTGAATTGAAGAAGCTATTTGTGTTAGAGACTAGAAGGATAATTAGCGGGAGAGCACGCAGGAGACAATATTTCCTTTTCTTTTCTTTTATTTTGGTTTGGAGAAGAGGAAGTTTTTTTAACGGCTATACAGACTGAGAGAGATAGACATACCTGAGAGGGAGTGAGACTGCGAGAAAACAAAGTGTCCAAGCCTCTCTCCGATCTCCGCACCTGCTTCCAAACCGCTAGGTTTTGTTGGACTCTGGATGACCTCAAATTTTGTAATTTTTTTCTTGAGTGAATCCCGGACATTTGCTTTCTAACAATCGAGTCCCCACTTTTCAAGTAATTCTCAATTAGACCCTTCTATTGACAAATATGCCTAAAGATGTGTATAAATTGGGGACCTAAATGAGAAAAAAAATAGGCATATGTGTTGAAAGAAGGATATAATTGAGGATTCTTAGATGCATTGAGGACTCAATTGGTTAAAAATACAGGTCGGGGTCCAATTGACGCAATTTAACCCAAGCTGGGTTTCGCCACGCTACCTAATCCTATTGTACATTAGTGCACCTTTTGTTTTATGCCAGAATGTACTTTGATGCAAATAATATTCTCAAGGAATTGGTTTCATCCAGCCAGGCTTTGCCGGCTTTTGATGTGTTTGAAGTTTTATGGGCCACGAGGAATGTTTGTGTTCCAGGGTTTGGTGTTTTTTATGCTTTGTTCAGTGTTTAGGTATGCTTGAGGATGACCAGATTTAGGGTTTTCCCAAAGGTACGGCCTTGTAATGCCTTTTTGCATAGGCTGTCGAAGACAGGAGAAGGGGACTTATCGTGCAAGTTCTTTAGGAATATGGTGGGGCCTGGGATTGCCCCAAAGGTATTTACGTATAATATTGTGATAGGTCATGTGTGCATACAAGGGGATTTGCTGACTGCTGAAAGCTTGTTTGAACAAATGAAAATGATGGGTTTATTAACTCCAGATATTGTCATATATAACTCACTTATTGATGGATATGGAAAGACTGGGTTGCTGGATGAATCGGTTTGCTTGTTTGAAGAAATGAAGTTTGTGGTTTGTGAACCTGATGTAATAATCTACAATGCCTTGATTAACTCTTTCTGTAAATTTGAAGGGATGCCTAAAGCTTCTGAGTTTTTCCATGAGATGAAGGATAAAGATTTGAAACCAAATGTGATAACTAATAGCACATTAATTGATGCTTTATGCAAGGAGGGAGTGATGCAGATGGCAATTAATTTTTTTTGTGGATATGAGACGTGTCGGTTTGTTACCAAATGAATTCACATATAGTTCTTTGATTGAAGCAAAGTGTACAGCTGGTAATCAAAGTGAAGCGTTCAGGCTGACTAATGAGATGACGCAGGAACATGTTGACTTGAACATTTTTACATACACAACTTTACTGGATGGCCTTTGTGAGGAAGGGAGGATGAAGGAACCAGGAGCTATTTAGGGAAATGGGGAAAGCTAGGGCAACCTCTAACCTGCAAGCTTATACCGCCCGTATTCATGGGCATATTAAGGTTAGGAGTGTCGATAAAGCCATGGAGTTATTCGATTAAATGAGGGGGAAAGGCATCAAACCAGACATATTGCTTTGCGGAACCATCATTTGGGGTCTTTGCAGTGGAAGTAAGCTTGATAAACGCAAGATTATAATGAATGAAATGAAGAAGTGTGGTATAGGTGTCAGCCCTGTCATATATACAACACTAATGGATGCTTACTTTAAGGCAGGGAATCACATGGAAGCTATCAATCTGCTAGAAAAAAAGTGGGACTAGGGAATTGAGGCTACAGTTGTGACATTTTGTGCATTAATTGATGGTTTGTGCAAAAGGGGTTTCGTTCAAGAGGCAATTTATTACTTCGGTAGGATGCCAGACTTTGATTTGCAACCCAATGTTGCAGTCTATACGGCTCTTCTTGATGGTCTTTGTAAAAATAATTGTATTGGAGCTGCGAAGAAGCTGTTTGATGAAATGCAAGATAAAAATACGATTCCAAATAAAATTGCTTATACTGTGATAATAGATGGGAATTTGAAGCATGGCAACTTTCAAGAAGCATTGAACATGCGAATCAAGATGATGGAAATGGGTATAGAACTTGATCTGCACACATGCACTGCCCTGATTTGGGGGTTGTCACAATGTGGCCAAGTGCAGCAAGAAAGAAAGTTTCTTGCTGGGATGATTGGAAAGGGTATCATTCCTGATGAGATTCTCTGTTTTCGTCTATTGAGAAAGTATTATGAGCTAGGAAATATTGATGAAGCTGTTGAAATGCAAGATGAATTGGTGGAGAAAGGTCCAATCCATGGCAACCGAAATTATTCAGTTTCTAATGTCCGATCTTTAAGAGCAAATCTACAGTCAGACCAGTTGAGCTAACCCCTCAAGTTAAAGAACAGCACCTTTGATTGGATGGGTAGCTCCGCAGACATGGTATTTGATGCTGTTTGTCTGAGTTCAATGTGGCTTCCTGAGCTCTTGCAAATGCTAATACGTTAAAAGAGTTTCCTGCTTATAGCGTTATGGCGGCTGGTAGAAGAAAACTCGTGGCATTGATGCCTGATTCAAGACTTCCCAAACGTTACTTTGGAGGTGAGTGGTAAATTGAGGATTCTTCAGGTTTTCAGTTGCAACAGAGGAAGCATTATATATAGCAATTAATATAATGGGAAAATTCCCTGACCATAGATTTACCCTTAACAGAAACTAAATCGATCACAGATTAAAACAGATGTTTTTTCAATTAAATCATCATGCTTTAGCCCGCCACATATATAAATCGTTCTCTCTTAGATTTACCACTCCTCGCTTCATAATTAAAATTCTCTCCTTCTAAACAAATGGAGGCTGTTGCTGCGTGGGTGTTTGTGGAGGAGGCACCGGTGGCGACTTGAGCAGTGGTGACGGCGATGGGTTGTGGATTGTGCCACCACGACTGGAGAGAGGCCTGTGGATATTCAGTTTGCAGCTGGGTTGTGACAAGTATCACAAGAGAAGCCTCTGGTTTGGTAAAGAGGATAAAAGTCAAGGTTAAGCTGTTGAGGGTGAGATTGGATTTGTGGCACACATCATGTGTACAACAAAATCACAGGTGTTGCAATGGTAGCTAAATCCATTTCCTTGAAGGCCACAGCTATCACAGTTGAATGAACCACCATAGCAAACAAGAGCAGAGGAATGTGAAATAAAAGGTTAGAGCTGAACTGTTTTCTTTTTTAGAGATTACGTGTTATAAATTTTAAAATCATTGGAGATTTATATAATTATTAATTTTAAAATTTTAAAAAATTAATTAAGATATACATAAATTAATTTAAATTTTTATAATTTAAAAAAAAAACAAAAATAAATAGAGGAGTGGGGAAGACAGTTAAAGGGTAGGTTATTAAAGTTGGCATATGAAGTGTTTGCCAAAATATTTAGTGGTATTTTTATTATTTTGATATATTAATGGTTCTTTAATTATTAAATGAAATATAATAGTAATTTTTAAAAAAAAATTGATTTTTTAGGCATAATTATAAATATATAAAGTTTAAGATATTTTTTGTAATTTTTGAAACTACAGAGATAAAGTGAAAAAATAAAGATTATGTCATGAACTTCGATTAAACTACCCAGAAATGGAAACGGTTGAACCAAAGTTGACGCTTATAATATCTTATTTTTCTTTGTATTTTACTTGAACTCAATCAATTATTTTATGGAAGCTGGTCGGTTCTCAATTTACATCACTAAATGTAGAAAAAATTCATAAGAAAAAATTTGACTGAAATATTTTAAGAAAGAATAGACCGTCTGTAAAGTGAAAACAAAAAAAAAAAAGAAAATCATGATAAAAGGCTTTCCAGCTCTGTTGAATGGCTACTAAACAGCTAAAGAACTCTAAAAACCTCAGATTTAGCACCATAAACAGGCTAAGAACATATTCTATCCCGCAAAGGCCACTTCAGGATAATAAAATAATCATTTCCCTCAATAGCTACTTCTAAAGGAACTGACTTTAAATTAAGTTCTAGAGTTCTCTGTCCAAAATCTTTTTGTCTGAGAATGTAGCATGCCTTCATATGATCAAGTTGCTCACCAAAGAGTTGCGTATCCCAAGCTGATTCCTTCAAAAATAGTGTCAGCTTTGTATTTGTGCCATAGATTATGATAATTAATGCTTCTTAAAATCTTTTCAATACTGATGATAAATTATAGGTTTTTCATGATAAAAAGTATGGCAATAATTAATGGTTGGAGGTTATTTCAAGGATTTGGTTGGAAAATGTTGATTGTTGAGGTGATGAATGCAGGGTACAAGTTATGGATCCATTAGCAAAACAATGAAAATTGTGTTTTTGTGCATGCATTGATGACTTTCTGCTGTCCAGCTGAAAAGGAATCGTTGTTGAGATGGAAGGGAATTGCAGCACATATACTCTGTGAAAAGGTAAGGCGCAGAAACTCATTGCAGCTTTATATCTCCACACTGTGTTCTCATGCCTGCTGTCTGTAATTTTACCTTATTAGGAGTTATAATGATACATAGCCTAGTCTGGCTGTCTTCAGATGTTTCGGTATTGTTGTATTTTTCCATGGCCTGGTGGTAGCAGCTCTGTTGATTCATGCAAGGCATCAATTCATTCATAGCTCCAGTTTTATAGGAGTTTTAAGATATCTTTGTTCAAAATTCAGAACCCAAAACTAGCTTAAATCGATTGTGGGCACATCGTTGTCCGTACCAATTAATTTTTTAACACACACGTGTCATCATACTTGTGCATGTATGTAATGAGAATGCTTTGATGCCTATGGTTTACTGACTTCTGCTTAAATTTTTTTAGAGTTTTATTTGACCATCTTTTACCCATTAGGCAAGGGAAAAGGTTTCAATGCACGGCAGCTGAAGTGGATGCTGCAGGAGTTCTGGCTGACAATAATTTAGGATCTCATGATCAGTGGCAGCTTTCAAACATCACTGCCTTTTTAGAAACAGCTTGCAATGCAATTGTTTTCCTTCTTTTTCTTTTTCTTAAAGTGAGGAGAAATAAATTTGAAGAAAAGCATATTCAACATGTTGGTAGCATTCAGAAGTACGTTCAATGGCTTTTTACTTCGGTCTGAGCTGCTAAATTTACGGTGTCAGATTTTCTTTATCTGGTTATGGTGGTTGACTAGAGCAGGGTTGATTCACATCTATACAGCCTTCAGCACATTTTCTGATGTATTTGGCATGACAAAA